TTGAGAACAAATTCACACTCTCCTTCCCATACCCCTCCCCAATAGAGTCTTCGGATGAGACCACTGTCCCAGCTGTCAGCTTGGCTGCAACTTCAGGAGAGACCTTGAATAAGACATACCCAGCTAATCTGTATGCAGATTCCTGACCTAAGAAACATTCAGGTAATAAATGTTATTCTTTGTAGACACTAAATTTGGAGGTAATTTGTTATGTGCCAATAGATAATTAGTTTTCTATATTAAAAAATTAACATAACTTTATAATCAGAGTTTTGGTTGATTGGTTGGTTTCCTCTTTCCTTGTTTTCCCCCTTCTTTTCTCCTTTTCTTTCCCCAGAATGATGTGGCTGAGTAGGCTTGCTCAGTGGCTTTTGATAACACTGCATTCAAATCACTTGTCCTATTGTTCTGACTTCTATTGGACCCACATTTTTCATTTTCTATGGTAAGCCATTGTTAGAGTACACACTATCGTACTTATTAAATAGTCAGACTATATAAAGAAGTCCCTTGTGCTCTGAAAACACTTCCTACGGACCGGCATTGCCCCACTTTCCTCTTAAAGTTATTGTTCGAGTGACTCTGATTTTTGCCTTGAGATACCTTGTCATAAAGATAGAGCAGCAATTTCTTACTAAGTAACACAATTAATGGATTAGGTTCACCTCAAAACACTAAATAACATATCTGTTCCTTACTCGAGTCATAGACACAAAAATTGGAATCTTAAAGATGAAGAGGAAATGATGGAAAACGAAAGGAGAACCATGTGATTAGACATCTAAATGGAGGTATGCAAGCATGTCCCATCATGAACAGCAGCGAGCGCCACTTCCTGCACAGAAGCTACTGTATACACAGCACTTATCGCTGATCCCAGATTCCATATGACATGTCTGAATCAGGAATAATATGGTAATTTTCACAGTTACAGAGTGGAAAATCTTTATGGCATAGCAGCAGAATGTGTCTTTATTTCACATTTTAAGAATCATGCCACAGGATGGAAGTAAAAACATTTTGAATAGATGTAGGCGAGCCTCCGAATTCAGGCCACAGAAGCTACATAGCTTTTTGATAGAAAATACTCTTCCTGTTCATCAGGGTTGCTAGCCTATGGTGAGCTTAATTAAAATCAATGGAGAAAAAAATTGAATACTGAGAAGCACTCTTTGGGGCTCATGAGATGTAAATGAGTCAAAATATGAAATACTCAAATAACCTTGGGTCATGGACTAGTTTAGTGATCACCTTATTGATCCATTGAAAACCATCTCTCTTCTTTTGCTCTCTTGTGCTATCTCAGATGGAACTGGGAGTTGATAAAGCTTCCATTTTGGAGCGAGAGTTCCTGCTTTTTTTTAGCCCATACTATCCCCACCCTCCATCCACCTCCTGTTCTGTTTCTCTATTAGCAGTTTTTGCACCATCTCTGTTGCTCTTTTATTCGCACCCACGTAGCAAAAAGAATATCAGCTGTCTAGAGGAAAAGCTGTGTCTGCTAGTGGCCTGGAACCAAACATGTCTCTTGATTTCAAATATGAGAAAAACATACATTTCTTCCTTTTATCTCATTTGGGCACAACAAAATTATACTTTATGCATGTGTAATGAGAGGTCAGAAAGGAGTAAACTGAACCCCAAGTGCACTCAATTCAATGTGATCAATATTCCTTTATTTTAAAGGGATTCATAAAATAGCAAATGTGCAACTTATGAAAACAGCCAAATTATTCACCCCTCCCTCTAACCATGCCCTTTGGCATGTCACTTTGAAGTTCCTCCTATAAAAGCAGAGTATATTCTTCTACTCCGTCTATTTTCTTTGGACCAACAGACTAGAGAGGAAGTGGCAGTTCCAGGCCAAGACCTTATAAGCCTGCGGGTTTCTCACTCTTACAACTCTATCATCAATGGGGACACACTCAGACTGGGCTGCTGGAGGAACAGAGACACAGGGAGCACAGCTAACCCGCCCTATTTTTCTAAGTGGAAGCCATCGTGCATCATGCAACAGCTGATCCCCAGACTCCAAGCCCAACCGCGAACAGCAGAACCATTTACCCAACCCCCAGCTGACCCCAGATGGAACTGGGAGTTAAGAAAGCTTCCAGTTTTATCTATGTCTAATCACACGGTTCTTCTCTCGTTTTCCACCATTTCCTCTTCATCTTTAAGATTCCAATTTTTGTGTCTCTGACTAGAGTAAGGAACAGATATATTATTTAGTGTTTTGAGGTGAACCTGATCCATTAATTGTGTTACTTGGTAAGAAATTGCATATATTGCATATAAACAATAAATGTTTTTCATTGAATGCCATTGAAGGTATCGTGGCTTTGTTGCACAGTATTATAATGGCACTAGATAACTGACAAAGCAGTTTCAGTGTCTATCCTCATTAAAAATAAGACCTACTGTGGAGTGTAATTTGGGAAGTAAATTAGAGTATAAGCATTGCTAGTGCACGTGTGTGTGTGTGTGTATGAAATAGAGAGAAAGGGCACAGTCAATGTTTTTGTATGTGAATGACTAAAACCACATTTATTTCTTCAGTCTCAAAATGACACTGGATAACTCACCCACAGAATACTCATTCATTCACTCACTCACCTCATTATCCATCACCTAGCTAACAACATACTAGATATCAGGGATCTAAAGGTGAATAGGCTGTCATCACTGCTCTTGAAGAACCTTCTGTATACTTGATGATACATTAAAAAATACACTACGGTGGAATGACGGCTCTAGCTTCTCTCTCTTGTAAATTATAAACATGACCCAATGTTTCACTACGGCTAATAGTTACTAGAGGTTGTAAGTACTATCTTCTGTTTAATTGTCTATTAGAAATTTGTCTAAACTTTTCTTTTAAAAAGTCAGTTTGTTTATTCCTCAGTCCATAATGTTATACCTCAAGGTAAGACTCCCTTTCAAATCTGAAACTCTTGACATTGGCAGTATAGAAAAATAAAGTACATGTCGCACAGTGGGTGCCAGAGACCTATATTATGTCCTACTGTTGGTTACAGAATTTTCAATATTTCCTTATCCTTTTCACTCATATGAACTGCAGCTTATAGCAGTGGTAATCATTTCCTGTGTTTGAAAAAGAGATGAAAGCATTCATGGATGAAAGCAAGTTGGATTTAATCTCCTTCTCTCTCATCCAGTACACTGTACTGATCATTTTCCAAAAAAACAAGACTTAAGCTCATTTTTGTCATGACAAAACTAGTTTCATAATAATCAGATGGCAATTCCTAGTGTACACAATTCTAATATAATTACCAGGAGGAAATGTAGAGGGAGTTGCAGGTTTGAGATAAAGAAAAGCCTGTGAATTTTGTATTAATGTCTCAGACTCTCTTATTTGTGCAAGTAATCAATCTTTCAGGGAGTAGAATAGTAATTCTTTGTGAAAAAAAATGACAAGAGTCAGAGGAAGAAAGAAGATAATCTGAGTTCCATTCGGTACACAGCAGGTCAGCTGTGATTGACAAAGCTCATCACAAAACTATAGCTCACGGAGTAATCCCAGTAGCAGAGTCTCATTTGCAGCCGAAGCAGTGTTAATGACATGTTTAACAGCTGCTTGTTGAAGTTTGGAATCTGCATTAACCCGCAGAGCAGTGAACAGAGAAATGAGGGAAAGTATTGAAATCAAGCCTTCATTATTCTGACAGCCCAGGTGAAAGGGTGCCCAGAGGTTGTGGAGAGGTGGGTAGGAGGGTCTGGAAGGTGGAGGGTTCAATTGCATGTAAGGACCATCTTGGAGATGACAGGGTCTGATCAATAAGCAGAGAAGTACAAAAGTAAACTGGCATGTTCAACTCAGAGACAATAAGGCAAGGAAGTCAGGCAACCAGAATGAAACCATAACTTGGACACCAAATATGCAGGCATTACAGTCACTAATGATCAACTCAATATTATGTAGCAGTGGAGGTTGTTGCATGGAGAAGACCAAGTGATGCTATGGTTTTAGGCTTCTTTACCCCCAGAAATCTTATTTTTTCATCCCAGCTCAAAAAGCAAAGGGGTATATGTATCACAGTGTATTTTCTAGACTACATATAATAGTATATGTTGAATTCACTTAAATGAACGACCAGAGTTTCTTTAAATGCAACTCTTTATAATGGTCCCTTTTTGTTCCACGGAAGTATATCTCTGGCTTTTCCATTGGCTGAGGGCATCTGTTGCTGAGGGAGAAGAATGAGAACACAAAGGAGTTGTCAGGGGATTTGGGGAAAATTCTAACTTCTTCACACTTTTTTGTTTTGTTTTGTTTGTTTTGTTTTTTTTTTTTTTTTTGAGACGGAGTCTCGCTCTGTTGCCCAGGCTGGAGTGCAATGGCGTGATCTCAGCTCACTGCAACCTCCGCCTTTCGGGTTCAAACCATTCTCCTGCCTCAGCCTCCCGAGTAGCTAGAATTACAGGTGCCCGCTACCACTCCCAGCTAATTTTTTGTATTTTTAGTAGAGACGGGGTTTCACTATGTTGGCCAGGCTGGTCTTGAACTCCTGACCTTGTGATCCTCCCACCTCGGCCTCCTGAAGTGCTGGGATTACAGGCGTGAGCCATTGCGCTGAACCCTTCTTCACACTTTTTAAAAATAGGCTTAGGCAGCTTGTGCAAATGCCCTGACCTTCAGTGTCCTTATCTATAAAAACAGAATAATAACACCCACTTTATAGGGTTGTCGTAAAGAATAAAGTAAAATATGTAAATCCCCCAGCACAAGTACACACTTCATAAAACATCGGCATTATTTCCTAGAGATGGCCACCATCAATGGGTAAGTGTGGCAGACCTGCCAAAAGTACCTCAGCGGTATAAATTGGTATAAAAATCCCACAAAAACCTGCCTTTGGGTAAGTTGTTACCTCCATGTTACCAATGCATTTTTTTCTACTTTGTTCACGGAGTTGTGTCAAATACCTAAAAATCATGGCTGGCACATGCTAGCCACTCAGAAAATATTGTGAGTATACCTGCTGTAGGAATCTGAAGAATCTTTTTCGATACTGTATTTTGCTTCTATGGAGCCCCTTCTTCATCAGGAAGAATGCTGGAACTCCTGAATTATAGGATCTTGGAGCTCATTTCATCAACCCTTTCATTCTGCACATGAAGAACCAAGGCCCAGGGAGAGGACGACTTGCTTTAGGCAAAGCAAACCGTGAACGAAGGTTTCACAACCTTATGGTATTTCGTACGTCATAATGTGTTCCAACCCTTCTCTTCGCTTTACCCGGGCGTCAGGTAATGAATTTCCATGGTCATCAAATGGGCCTGCTCACAAGGCATTCTTTCTTTAGCTTCAAGGTATTTTACCCCTCAGGTCCTCTAGGTTCTCCTATAAAAATTAGAAGACTGGAGAAGAAACTTTTGTTTTGCACTGTTTTCTGTAAAATTTGGTGGTTTGGGGGAAGTCCTACACAGAAATGTTGTAAACTCACTTTCCATCCTTGTAGTACCATTTAAAATAGAGAACTTATGTTTAAAAATTTTATGTATACCAGATTCTAGGTAAGATTTATTTAGGATTAGAAACAGTATCTTCAACTAAATAACAACTGACTAGATGATCTCTGGGATATCTTCCCTTCTGTCCATTATGAGAGTGGAAAAAGTAAGGCCAACCCACTGGGAACTCATTTATTTTTATCACAGCATTCACCAACTTCTCCTTCCCAAAGGCTCAGGGGCCCAACAAAGCAAGCAGGAGGGAGAAGGGAGAGAGGGGAGAAAGGGGGCAAGAAGGAAGAACAAGAAAGCCACCACTAGTGAGAGGAAGAAAGCAAAAAATTGACTAACACTTTCAAATTATTTTGGTTCGTGTATTCCTATACCCATTATCTTAATCTTCCCCAAAATTCTCTAATGTAAGTAGCAAAGGCATTATTTCCATTTGTCTGAGAGAAACTGAAATACTAGAGGCTAAATTAACGTCCAGGGCTCTGTGTGCCATCAGTGCTGGCATCATGGGACTGGAATGCCCATCTTAAGTTCTTTCTACATTGTACACTGATTAAGGCAAGATGACATCACGTCACTGGGGCTGCTTCCTTAAGGCCAATGTGTCTTATGTTTGGAAAACAAGAGTGGTCCGATGGCTTACATCTTTGAGGTCTCAGAATACAGACAATCATCTCTCTTTCCCCACAGATTATGCCATATGTCTGAAATAGCCAAATCCTTCACAGATCTCTACCATTGCCACCAACACTGCATGCATTTTTCTGCTTTGCATCTAGGCAGTAAGTTATCTGTTTCAGGTCAATTACCTGGCCATGAGGCCAATAAGACCAGGCATAGTGGCTCACACCTGTAATCCCGATACTGTGGGAGGCCCAGGCGGGAGGATAACCTGAGGTCAGAAGTTGAAGATCAGCCTGGCCAACATGGTGAAACTCTGTCTCTACTAAAAATACAAAAATTAGCTGGCACGTGGTGGCAGCCACCTGTAATCCCAGCTACTTGCAGGCTGAGACAGGAGAATCACTTGAACCTGGGAGATGGGGGTTGCAGTGAGCTGAGATCGTGCCATGGTACTCCAGCCTGGGCAACAAGAGCAAAACTCTGTCTCAGAACAAACCAACAAACAAAACATTTAATGTATCCAGAGGTATTATACTCAACTTCATTTCCTTCATTTGGTGCAAATGAAGATAATTGGATATTATTGGAATTTTGAAGTGTGTCAGGTGTTTAGAGCATGGACCCCCATCTCTGGTTTTGTGATATTCTGGGATTCTCCCCCCTCACACCTACCCCCACAACTCTTGGCCCACCCACAGAACCTCAAAGCCTTTTTGAAATTCTTCAAATGTTTTCAAATGCAAATGGTTTTAATTTACTTTTTGCATACATCTACATATATGTTGGTATAAAAATAAATATTCATTTTATAAATATATCTACCTATATGTTTTTAAATATACAGATGGAGGTCACGTGCCTTAGTTCTTTCTAAAATCATAATTCAGAGAGCCACTTCGGGGACATGGTGGGGAAATTTTCGGGTCTCTCTTGCTTCCTTCTGCTCTAATACAGTGCTTCCGCATTAATTATGGTTTGCCCCAGCACCTCCCATGCTCAGACTTAAAGTGTGATGCCTTCCTTCTCCCCAACTTGGTATTAATAATAATGATAATACCTACAGGTTATTCAGCACTTGCTGTGAGGTACCACATCGGTTGTTTTATAAACATTATCTCTTATGATTTTCCCAATAGTGAGAATTTCTCCTATTATATGTCTTTTATAAAAATAAACTAGTTTAGGGGTTAAATAAAAGTCTAAGGACACATAAATACTAAGAGAAATGATTTGTATTCAAACCTAGGACTAGTTTTCCCTAAAATCTATAATATTAACCATTAAATTGTGTGCCCTGGGTCCCACTTTCTAAGGTTGTTCCTATGTATGAAAATGATCTTCATTCCACAAATCTGCTGAATATCTCCTTTGTGCCAGGCATCCTTCTAACATGTCAGATACCACAGGGAGTGAAACTGAAAAAAGTGCCTGTATTCAGGGAGCTCACACTCTAGTGATGAACACAACAACCACAAAAGAAGAAGAGGAGTAATCTGACACCATTCTTATCTCACAAATGATTGTGGTTGAGTCCATTACAAAGCAGGGGAGACTTGCCTTTTATTGTAGCCCCCCTGGAAACCTCATGCTTGGTTAAAGAGAATGGCTTATAAAGGACAGCAGGGTCGAAGGGGATGTAAGGGGCTTGGTGGTGTGTAAGGCACATTGGCAGGTAGGCTCTGGGTTTCCAAGGGAGCTCAACAAATCATACTTGCCAGCAACCAGCTTCTTATACAATTCTTGCCAAAAATAATGGTCCTACTTCAAAACTATGAAAATCATGCTTTTTAAGGGATAATTCACTGCCAAATGAGAATTTGATAGCATATTAGATAGAGTGCATAGACTGGTTTAGGATACAGATTATATAAATGGGGTATTGGATAGATACTGTGAAAGGATATGTGAATGGTATGATTTGGCTCCGTGTCCCCACCCAAATCTCATCTTGAGTTGCAATCCCATGGGTCAAGGAAGGGACCTGGCTGGAGGTGGCTGGATCATGGGGGTGGGTTCCCCCATGCTGTTTTCATGGTAGGGAGTTCTCATGAGATCTGATATTTTTATAAGTGTTTGGCAGTTCTTCCTTCCTCTCACTCCCTCCTGCAACCTTGTGAAGAAGGTGTTTGCTTCCCCTTTGCCTTCCACCATGATTGTAAGTTTTCTGAGGCCTCCCCAGTCAAGTGGAACTGTGAGTCAATTAAACCTCTTTCCTTTATAAATTACCCAGTCTCTGATATTCTTTATAGCAGTGAAATGGACTAATACAGTAAATTGGTACCAGTAGAGTGGGGTGCTACTATAAAGAGAACCTGAAAATGTGGAAGCTACTTTGGAACTGGGTAATGGACAGTGACTGGAAAAGTTTGGAGGGCTCAGAAGAAGACAGAAATATGTAGGAAAGTTTGGATTTTCCTAGAGACTTGTTGAATGGTTTTGACCAAAATGCTGATAGTAATATGGACAATGAAGTCCAGGCTGAGATGATCTCAGATGGAGTTGAGGAACTTTTTGGGAACTGGAGCAAAGTTCACTCTTGTTATGTTTTAGCAAAGAGGCTGGCAGCATTTTCCCCTGCCCTAGAGATCTGTGGAACTTTGAACTTGAAAGAGATTATCTAAAATTTGAACTTACGTTTAAAAGGGATGCAAAACATAAAATTTTGGAAAATTTGCAGCCTAACGATGTGATAGAAAAGAAAAACCCATTTTCTGAAGAGAAATTCATGCTGGCTGAAGAAATTTACATAAGTAATGAGGAATCAAACATTAATCACCAAGACAATGCAGAAAATGTCCCCAGAGCATGTCAGAGGTCTTCACAGCAGCCCCTCTCATCATAGGCCCAGAATCCTAGAAGGGAAAAATGATTCTGTGGGCCAGGCCCAGGGTCCCACTGCTTTGTGGAGCCTCAGGACTTGGTGCCATGCATTCCAGCCTCTCCAGCTCCAGCCATGGCTAAAAGAGGCCAAGGTACAGCTTGGGCCATGGCTTCAGAGGGTGCAAGCCCCAAATCTTGACAGTTTCCATATGGTATTGGGCCTGTGGTTCCACAGAAGACAAGAGTTGAGCTTTGGGAAGCTCCACCTAGGTTTCAGAGGTTGCATGGAAACACCTAGATGTCCAGGCAGAAGTCTGCTGCAGGGGTGGAGCCCCCATAGAGAACCTCTGCTAGGGCAGTGCAGAGAGGAAATGTGGGGTTGTAGCTCTCACACAGAATCCCCACTGGGTTACTGCCTAGTGGAGCTGTGAGAAGAGGGTCACCATCCTCCAAACTCCAGAATGATAGAACCACCAACAGCTGGCACTGTGTGCCTGGAAATGCCACAGACACTCAATGCCAGCCAGTGAAAACAGCTATGGGGGCTGAACCCTTCAGAGCCACAGGGAAGAGCTGCCCAAGGCCTTGGAAGCCCATCTCTTGTATCAGTGTGACCTACATGTGAGACATGGTATCAAAGGGAATCATTTCAGAGCTTTAAGATTTAATGACTGTTCCACTGGATTTTGGACTTGTATGGGACCTATAGCCCCTTTGTTTCATCCAACTTCCTCCATTTGGAATGGGAGCATTTACCCAATGCCTGCATCCCCATTGAATCTTGAAAGCAGCTAACTTGCTTTTAATTTTACAGGCTCATAGGAGGAAGGAAGTTCCCTTGTCTCAAATAATACTTTGGACTGTGAAACTTTGAGTTAATGTTGCAATTAGTTAAGACCTTTGGGAGATTGTTGAGAAGGCAAGATTGGTTTTGAAATGTAAAATGGACATGAGATTTGAAAGGGGCCAGAAGCAGAATGATATGGTTTGGTCCTGTGTCCCCACCCAAATCTCATATCAAACTGTAATCCCCATGCATCAAGGAAGGAATCTGGTGGGAGGTGACTGGATCAGGTTGGGGGTGTTTCCCCCATGCTGTTTTCATAATAGGGAGTTCTCATGAGATCTCATGTTTTTAAGAGTGTTTGGCAGTTCCTCCTTCCTCCCTTTCCCTCCTGCTGCCTTGTGAAGAAGGTGCTGGCTTCTCCTTTGCCTTCCACCATAATTGTAAGTTTCCTGAGGCCTACCCAGACATATGGAACTGTGAGTCAGTTAAACCACTTCCCTTTATAAATTACTTAGTCTCAGGTATTTTTTATAGCAATGTGAAAACAGACTAATACATTGAGGAAAGTGCAGAGTACACTAAGGTGAAATGCCAGTTACAACTGAGACCTAGGCAGAAGACCTTTGAGACCTGGTAACCTGTGGAGTCCCTCCCAAGGGCATGCAGAAGATGTGGTAACTGAACAGGTTAAGAAAGCACATGATACTTCTGTGTTTGAGACACATTAGGAGTGTGGATACAACCCAAGGTCTTCTACATATCCCATTCCTTTAATTGCTAATAGACTTAAAAAACTAATTTGTTAAAGGTTTGATGCTTTGACATGTATTTTAACATAATAAAGTTGCTTTGTAAGAAGCGTTATTTTATTTAACCTAGGAGTTATTTCCAAAATGTAGTTATGAGGGTCTAGCAGGAAGTAAAAATATTCAGAGGATGGGAACAGGGTATGCTCGCATACAATCATACTTACTATTTTTAGTGAGGGTTCAAAGTAGGAGAATACTTAATTTTTTAATCACATAAATATTTTATCATAAAATGGGACAAAAATAAACTTCACATTTTGACCTCATTTCCATTAAAATTCATATATTTTGTACTCTCTTTACAGTTACAAAATAAAATTCATCATATTAGTAAAAAAAAAAAAAAACAAAAAAAAACAAAGAAAAGAAAAGTTGAGGAAGAGCTATTATATTAACAAAATAATGTCCAGCTCTTTGCTTTCCAGGTATATCATAGGATTTCACTTCCCTGCTTACTGTGAAGTAAACCATGACTGTGGTATGACTCAGCACATTCCCATCCCTATGCTGCAATAATCCTGGGAGGAAATATAGAGGAGTCACCTGGGTCCAACTGACTCCAAAAAGCTCAGCCCCTAGCTGACTCACAATGGACATGCTATGTAAGCGAAATATCATCTTTTGTTGGATTAAGTCACAAGAAATGTGAGGGATATTTATTACCATTGCACATTGTGATGGTTAATATTGAGTGTCAACTTGATTGGATTGAAGGATACAAAGTATTGATCATGGGTGTGTCTGTGAGAGTGTTGCCAAAAACAGATTAACATTTGAGTCAGTGGGCTGGGGAAGGTAGATCCACTGTTAATCTGGTGGGCACAATTTAATCAGC